CATTTATTTAAACATGGTTAGCCAGGAAGGAAGTGCAACCACTGGCATGTCATCTTATGAAAGGAGGAAATGGAAAAATTATCAGTTGTTTTGGGTGTATGAGAATAATATGTATTCAAAATATGAGACTTTAAGAAACATTTTTGTTAATTCTTAGGACTACCAAATGTGGAAGTTGGAGATGGGATTATACAGGTTCTCATTGACCCTTTATAGGCATTATATTTTGTAAAATATGAGTTTAATTTAACCATTACAGGTTCTCCTATTCTCCTGAGATTTAGTTTATGTTTAGCATCTACCTTTCATGTTATGCCAGGTCTTCCAGTTTTGCCTCATAGTACATATTTTCATTTTGTACTTTGCTTCAATTTCTAGATGTACCTTTTATTCTTTCTGTAGGTTCTGTTAATGATTTATTCATTTTACGTAATGTCATTTAGCTATTTACAGGAATTGATGTCTTTAAGTGTTAATTCTTTCCTCCTGCCTACCCGTCCCCCCTCTTTCCCTCCCCTACCGCTTTGCTCATACCCTTGCCCTTCCCCCTTCCTTTTTTTTCTCTTCTAACCAGTAATTGAGGCATTCTCTCCTTTGCCCATAATCTTTCTAATGTATACATAATTATTGGTATTCTTCTGTACTGTGATTACCTCTACCTTCCTTTTTGGTTTCAAACCAGGATTTTTTTATTGAAATTACCAGTTCCCATGCCTTTTGTTCACTTACTCATCTACCTTTCTCAACTAGTTATTTTTTTCCAACACTTTATTATACACATTTTGCAACTTACAGAAAAGTTGAAAAGAGTTCTATGAACACTCGTGTACTTACTACTTGAATTCCACTGTTAATATTTTACTGTACTTGGGGCTCCTGGGTGGCTCAGTGGGTTAAGTGTCTGCCTTTGGCTCAGGTCACGATCCCATCCCGCATGGGGCTCTTTGCTCAGTGGGGAGCCTGCTTCTCCTCAGCCTGCTGCTCTTCCTGCTTGTGCTCTCTCTCTGTCAAATAAATAAAGAAAATTAAAAAAATAATAAAAAAAGATATGCACAGATCTTAAGTGTACCATTTAATGATTTCTGTCTTCTGAGTCACTTGTGTTCTCATGAGAGAACTAACTCCCATTATAAGGCCACACTTCTAAAACTTGTATATATTCATTTGGATTTTCAAAAATAGACTTTGAATGCCACAAAATACCTTAAACATTTCTTCTTTTTAATTTTTTATTATGTAAATGTGCTACAATCAAAAGTATAATGATTATAGTTAAAGGTATTTTTATTTTTATTTTTTTAGATTTTTCCATGCTTCAGCAAATATTCTTAGCATTGCTAATGATAATCACATAATGCATGCTGGAGAAAGTAACTTGAGGATGTTTTAGTTCAGTTAAAAGTATGAGAATGTAATGATAGGCCATGATTGCCCTTTTGTCCACTTTATAAGCTGAATATGTAAAAGAGGTAATTAATTCAAGGCACTTGAAACATTTATGGAGTGCTTTCTAAGTTTATTGGGTGCTTGCATTTACCTGAACTCACTTGAGCTCCCATTAACCATGTTGGATAGGCAGACAGTTGTGTCTGCTCTGTAAGTGAAGAAACCAAGCTTCAGGTAGGGGAAAGGGCAGTGCAGCAGTTGAACTCAGATCTTCTCACTTTAACTTTAGTCCAGTGGCAACAGCTGCAGTCCCACTCAGTCTTTAGTTCAAGTGCCATTCCAGATACTGCGATTTGCTGATGAATGAAGACCAAATGTTTTAGTGCATAGACTAGTGTTAACTGTAATGACAACTCTGATGCAGAGGCCTATGCCAATATTTTGAGTTCCCCCATGATGAAATACTCAGATATAGAGAACTAACTGCAACTATTGGGATCCAGACAGAACTCTCTAAGTGTCTATATTTAGAATGTGACATACGTTATTACATACCCATTCTGTTCTCACAAGAGTGAACAATATCATGATTGAAGTGCCACTTAATGTGGCAAAGTGCCTATTTTTCAGAAACGTATTATGTGAGAAGCTCATTGGAGAAAAGAAAGCCTTGTTGATATATCTATCGTGGAAGGTTTCTATTTCACAATATCCTTGAAGGTACTTCCCTTCTTTCCCTTAGGTAGACAGATCCTTAATGACAAACCATCTGGAGAAAATCAGCTTGACATTGTCTGGGTAATGGACTTGACAGAATGTGGGCAGTTTTGTTTTTGTCAGTGGTTGTAAAGGTTTAGCTCTTAGTTTGGTCAATACCACCAAGGAAAAGCTGGAAGAGATTAACACGGCTCCTGAAGAAAAGTATTCTTTTTTTCTTGAGGAAACCTCTTTGCGATAGTAATTTACTGAAAGTCCTTTAGGATCAGAAACTGGAAATAATCTATTTGAGATCACCTTTTGAGTCTGTGTCCTTATTTCTGTCATTTTGAAGATAGATTGCCTAGGAGCCGAAAACCTTTTACTTTTTCTAATATTAGTAAGGATGTCTGCCTAAGAATACAAATCATGTAATTCTTTCAAAAACATTGGATTGTTTTTTGACATAGGTAATGGTTGATCTGCCTTATGTGCACCTGAAAAAGGTGACAGGACCTGGCCAATGAGTCATGTAAACCCCTAGATATTCTCTGTGGATAGGACAAGAAGGACAAGGAAGACAGGAGGTTGTTCCCATTTCCTGCTTATCCTGTGCCTCTGTCTCTTTTCTTGTCATCTTTCTCTCAGGTCTGGCTATCCTGGATCCTGTTGAAACAGTTTTGTTTTGAGGCGTCTTTAAGGAAAGATAATTCTTTGTAAATCTGTGTGCTAGAAGTATCCTGAGGTTTAAGGCAGTGTTCTTGAGAAAGAAGGAAATGGATTATGGAAAAAGAGGAGACAGAAATCCATTCAAAAGAGTGCCACCAGGAGTGGCTTCAGGTAGTGTGTCTTAGCAGTGTACCATATGGTGCCTAATTTGGGTGTGATCCACTTTGGGGCCACTTTATTCTTTGAGTCTTGGATCTGGATTGATTGATTGATTGATGCATCTCTCTTCTCCCCAATGTTATTGGAATGTTAGAAAATCAAGAAGAAGAAAAAGTGCAGCCATAATTCTTTGCTCCTAATGAAATCACTGTTAAACTTTTGATAAAATCTTTATTTCTTCCTCTATAATTGTTATTATGTTCCTGGAATTAGAAAAATGCCTCTTTTTGTTTCCTGTCTTTGTGAAATGTCTTTGAATGTGTCCTTGGAAGGCCGGCTGAAGGACAAATATTGGGTGATATTACTGTGCATCAGTTAAATTGTCACTCCAGTCTTTGAAAAGTACTACATGCTGCTTTTTTCTCAGTAGGTGACTAATACATGTACATCGTTACTATTAAGTGTATGATCTTTTTAAAGTGATGCTGAGGGTGAGGATGATGGAAGACTTCTGAAAAAACAACACTGAGCTTTTTAGAAATTGTCCTGATTTGTGGCTGGGACTTCTCAGCTGCTGCTTTCAGACATAACATTCCTTCTCTTCGTTTCCATTTGAAGGAGTCCTTTCTTATCATATCCAGATAGATTTTCTATGGCAGAGTGATGAACTATCATCAGTCTTCATTCTGATTGACAAACATAGAATGCCAGCTATGGGGAATAAAAAATGGTGTCAGATAAGAGGGGAATGGCCTGAATTTTCATTGGAGAAGACTTTCTTTGGAAGAGTGAATTGATGAAATGGTTCTGTTTTATTTTGCCTGAAACAAGTAAATTCCAACACATTAAAGTCACTTGGAGTTTTAATAGAGTTCATTCTACTGGGGCAAACTTACTTGAAAATTCCTTTGTGACTCACCGTGTAATAAAATTTCACCAGTTTATTTTGTTAAAGCTAGGAAAAAAAAATTTAAGTTAATGGGTATTTTGCTAAATGAGCTGTACTCAGGAATGTGTATAGGAGAGAGGGAGGTCATGCAAATGCATTTTCTTATGGGAATCTTTAATTTCAAATACCACGTGTTTGGAAGGCCAGATGATCTTTACTATCCTTATTATTAAATCCTGGCAGATGAATTTTTCTTCTCTTTTTTTGTAAAAATGGGTCTATTTCATAATAACGGCAACAATAATAGATCCATAGATATATTCTTAGTCGTTGGCCTACATCAGTTTTGTTTGTCACCTTATCTTTGGCACTTTCCACAGTACCTGGCGGTAACAGGCACTCAGATATTGTTGCATGGACAGTGTTGGTAATTGTTAATTGCGGAATAATAAATCTTCATTTGTTCTTTTATGTGGTAATAGTTTAATTGGAATTGTTTTTTAAATTACACTAAAAAACCAACTTATCTTCGTAAGTTTAAGGTTCTGTATTAAAATTTCTTGAATATGTTCTTTCAAAGCTTTAGAATGGATGACTTTGCTGAAATGTTTTTTGCTCTGGGTTGGAAATAAGTTTTAGAAATAGCTGTAGTAATTTTAAACTGTTAAGTAGAATTACTGTTGACTGCAGTTTTCTGAGGCTAATGTTACAACACATTCTTTTTTTTTTTAGACTTTATTTATTTGAGAGAGAGAGAGCGCGCGTGCGTCCGTGAGAGCATGCGAGCAGGGGTAGGGGGTGGGAGTGGTTAGGGGGGTTAGACAGGGGGAAGGAATCTCCAGCAGACTCCTTGCCAAGGCTGTAGCCCGAGGCTGGGCTCGATCTCACAACCCTGAGCTGAAATCCGAGATTCAGCGGCTCAACTGACTGAGCCACCCAGGTGCCCCTACAATACATTCTTATAGGTTGCTGTCTATGGGTAGCATGGTAAAAAAGAATTGGGAGGTTTAATAATTAGTATAAATTTAAATATTCTGAAATTTGTTGGAATAATTTTATACTGAGGAAAATGTATTTGGTGACTGATTTATATGTAAATACATAAATATAATTTTTCTTTTCTAAAAGTGAATGTATTAAGGAGCTTTAAAATGGTACAAAGAGAAATGTCCTAAGTTAATTCTGTTTCTGTTTATTTCAGGGCCGAAAATAGTGAAATCACGTTTCACGGTTAAAAAACTATTAAGAAGGCAATATGGGGACTCCTGGTTCTGGAAGGAAAAGGACACCTGTAAAAGACCGATTTTCTGCAGAAGATGAAGCTTTGAGTAACATTGCCAGAGAGGTGTGTCTGGAAAACCCCCTCTCAATGTTGAGTTGCACAGTTGGGAACGTTGTGAAAATGTTGGGGGGGAGATAGACTTTCATTCACTGAGCTGGTTTCAGAATGCTTACTGTGAATAAGATGTTATATATGGCCTCTAAATACTGTATTAGAATAGAATATAGTTACCATCTCTTTATTTGGATATCTGTTTCTCATCTAAAATTTTTCATTTTTTGTGGATTACTTTGAGGTACCTGTAATGTTTTGAAATTTATAATGAATCTTAAGTATTGAAACTTAAGGTGATTAGAATGTGGAAAATATGATAACTATATTATAGAAACACTCGTAGGCCATACAGTTAACATATTCCAGGAGGCACTGTATAAATGTTGATAGAAACAGTCTTTATTTGGTGTCTGCCCAGATTCAGTTGTTTTAGCTGTTTTTTGAAATACTGCAGTGGAATTTTTATGTTTAACTTTCAGCTAGTACCAGAGCTTCTGGAGCATTTTTGTTTCAGTTTGTTGACAACTCAGAAGAAAGAAAAAAATGGAAAGGGTTGTCACCTATTGAATCACTGGCAACATTTCCTGTTGCATATTGGAAGTTTTAAGATAACTCCCAGCTGTGATTTCTTATTGAGGTGCCAACTTTGTTTCAGACTCTGACTCTATCTGCATCTGTAGACCTGAGCATAAATCAATCTGGTACAAAAATTGGTTAGAGCATTATTAAATTATATTCTTTTTGTGAGGATTAGTCCCTCACCACTTCCTCTTTGTTATTCTTAGTAAATAGATCATTTAGGACTAGTGCTATTTCCTTTTGACATATTATACAGTCTCTTTTTGGCCCAGCTCATTGTTACATTTTTTTCCTCTGGTGAGCTACTCCGTTAGCTTTTGAATTAGAAGTCACATTCCATAGAGGGATGTTTGAAGCAAAGAAAAGTTGTCTAATAACTGTTGGCAAGCTTGTGATACTTTAACAAAATCACTTTTAAAAAATCAAGCGAGATATTTTCAGATAAAGGGGTAAAAGATTCTTTAAAATGAAGCGAAAATGAGATACAAGGATTTTAAGTATTTGCACAAATGAAGCATTTTAGAAGCCACATAGTTTTATTTGAAAACTGAAACTACTCAAAATGTTTACTTCCCAAATTGAGGGATTTACCCAGATTTCTATAAGGAGAGAAAATGTTGGCACCTTCTGGGCTTTATTGTACCGTCACTAAATATTTGAACTCTTTTTTTGGATCTGTGATGCTTTGTTCGCAAAGTGGATGCATTCTAAACATTTAACACTTGAGTGCTTTCTATGTGACAAACACTTCTATGCATTTAAGTTGCATTAATTCATTTAATCTTTTTTTTTAAGATTTTATTTATTTATTTGACAGAGAGAGACACAGCGAGAGAGGGAACACAAGCAGGGGGAGTGGGAGAGGGAGAAGCAGACTTCCCGCGGAGCAGGGAGCTGGATGCGGGGCTCGATCCCAGGACTCTGGGATCATGACCTGAGCCGAAGGCAGACGCTTACCGACTGAGCCACCCAGGCGCCCCTAATTCATTTAATCTTCACAAAATTCTGAGATTGGTTTTATTATCTCCGATTTAACGAAGAAATGTTTGCACAGAAGAGTTAAAGTATCTTTCCTAAGGTCACACAGCCAGAAAATAGCAGAGCTTGGGTTCAAACACGTGAAGTCTGGCTCTAAGGTCTGAGCATTTAACTACTTGCTGTGTTGTGCTGTTTCTCAGTAGTCTCCAACTCCCCCATTAATAGTTTCTTTTTTGGTAACTATTCATGATTTTGAAGGTGCTTGCACATCTTGATTCTCACAACAACCTTGTGAGTTAGGAAGGATAGATATTATTATTAACCTTATTTACAGATGAGGAAACAGACAAAACTGAGAGATAAATGTCTAAAAGATACCAGAGCTGAGGCTCAAAATCAGCTACTTAAAGCCATTGTTTATTCTACTGTACCATACTGCTTCCAGAAGAGACAGGCTTTGGAGAGTTCTAAGTGTGGCTTTGAATCCTGCCTCTACTAGTTGCTTCTTGAGTAATTTTGTTAAGTAACTACTATGGACTTCAGTTTCCTCATCTGTAAAATGGGAATAATATTGTCTTCCTGTATTACAGGGCTGTTGTGATGATTAAAGGACACAAAGCATGTAAACCTTTATCATAGTGTTAGGTTTGCAGTGGGCTATTTTGTTGCCTAGTAATAAGTCAGAATTAAAAGTGAGAGTAGAGGTAAAATCGTCTTTTTTAAAAAAGAAATTTATTAAGATAGGTGTTCTAAAACATGGTTGATCACTAGACTCCCTCAGGGAACCTTTTTAGTGTACAGAGTCCCAGGCTTTACTTGTACTTGCTAAATCAGAATCTGTGGGGGTTGAGCTCAGAAACCTGTATTTAAGTGCGTGTGTACCCATGCATGCACACATACACACAGACACACTTCTTCCTGGGGGATCTTGATGGCCATTCAGATTTGGGAACCATGAACCAAAATGCGGAGAAGAAAACAACAACAACAACAACAACAAAAACAAAAAAAGAACCCAAAACAAAATACAGAGAAGATCCTATCCTGGATGGTCTGTTTTTTATACCTACAGGTTGTTTTCCTCCTTGTACGTTATTATTTTGCTATGAAATAACTTAGTTTAATACAGTTATTAATAAGTTATTGTATAATAATAAAAGTTATTATTATAAAAGGATTTAAAAGGCCAGTATTTTTAGTTTTTATTTCTATTTTCAGAGCTCTGAATATGAATGTGCCGACTCTTAATAACCTGGTCAAAAGGCTCAGCTTAACCTTCAATATGAAAGGGTCAGTTTCTATTAAGATTCAAGATTTTTATTTGTATGAGTGCCTAATGTGTGATGTAGAGTTTGAAAATTTTAGAGGAACTAGGTTTAGCAGTTTTAATAATTCCTTCATATATTTCTTGTGATTCTTTTTTTTCCTTTAAAGTTTTCATAGCTAATTCTCAGTTGTGCATTCATACATTACATGGTTGACATTTGCAGATCACCCCAATCCTTATTTTCTCCCATATGATCATCCCTTTCACAAAAAACATGCCTGAAACCAGAATGAACAGAACCCCCTTAATGATTAAAAAGGACAAGTAGCTTAATACCCCCTTTTTAATTGTTAAATCTCAACAGTTTAATTTGTCTTTTCTCACTTCAAATTGTTTTTTGAGATAGGGAATGCCACAAATAAAGAAAAATAACCTCTTTTTCCTCCTGCATACTATTTGCTCAGGTTTCTTTGCTCCTCAGTTGGCCACAAGTCAGGGAACTAGAGGGAATGAGGAGGAAAAGAAAGAAAAGGCATAAACATATTCTGCAAACTGGTAATTTGCATGCTAAAATATAGAACTGAGTACATTGTGGTAAAACATACATAACATAAAACTTATCTTACCCATTTTTACAACTATAGGATTCTGTGGCCTTAAGTACATTCACATTGTTGTGCAACCATTATCACCACCCATCTACAGAAGTCTTCATTTTGTAAGACCTGTGTACATTTTAAAAAGATGTTTGGATGTTTGAAGACTGCTCTGATGAAGTCAGGAATGTGGATGGATTTAGAAGCCCCGTCCTGTCTGTAGTCGTGTTGCTGCTCTGTGCGGGGAGCATGGGCTGTCATAGCTCTTTGAAGAGCTCAGAGGAGCAGTGTCAGAAGGGGTCACCAGCAAGTCCTCTCGGGTGTCAGAGGACCAATTCACATGCTTTTTTTTTTCTTTTTTCCCTTGCTTGTTTGGCTTTGATTGTTCTACAGGTTTGGGGGAAATGCAATTAGAGAGTTGACTTTAAGTGAAAACTTACCTGAAAGCACAGCGTGTATCAAACTGGGAACCCTTAGGCAGCTAGCTCTCCAAAGGAGAAAGATGAGGGTAGCATGGAAGCTACTTATGCCCCCTTACTGCAGTTAGTTTGGCAAATATTATGGTGAGTGTTCCCAGAAAAAGAAATTAAGCCTTTTGAAGGGATAGCAAACAGTCTTCTTAAGGCATCACAGAAGCCTGGAATATAACTGTTCTCCTTGTTTTAGAGCTGCAGATATGAAGAAAACATGTTCCATGCACATCTCTCCAAATGGAAGTTATCAGAATGTTGCTTATTTTTGGACCTTATGATCTAAAAGTCCTTTTAGCTCTAAAATTCTTTGAGTTCCCTTGAGATCCAGGACCCAAAGAGATTCATGCTCATAATGCGCAGTTCTCTGAGATCTAAAGGATCAATGACAAGCATAGAAATTGATAATCTTTTATAGGAGTTAGAGTTTAGCAAATGGAGTGTTCAGAGACTTGTTGAGCAGAATGTACATGTAGATATTGGGTGCATACACCTACTTGTGATAAAGAAGAAAGGAAGCTTTTACGGCTTTTTGACATTTGTGGCTGCTAGGACTTTCAGAATTCTTTTTTTTAAAAAAAGATTTATTGAGAGTGAGTGCATGAGTGGGGGGAGGGGCAGAGGAGAGGGAGAGAGAGAATCCTCAAGTAGACTGATGTCATGGAGCCTGTTGTTATGACCTGAGCCAAAACAAGAGTTGGACACTTTGAGCCACCCAGGCACCCCCAGATTTCATTTTTCAAAATAGCTTTATTGAGATATATTTCATCCACTTGGAATGTATAATTCAATGGTTTTTGGTATTTTACAGTATTGATTTTTTTTTTAAGTTGTGATTATAACGTATAACAAAATTTGCCATTTTAACTATTTGCAGACTACAATTCAATGGCATTCATTGCATTTACAATGTTGTGCAACCATCACCACTGTCTATTTCTAAAACCTTTTCATTACCCCAGAGATAAACTCTGTAACCATTAAGTAATAACTCCCCATTCCCCTTCTTCCAGATCCTGGTAAACCTTTAATAAACTTTATGTCTCTATGAATTTGTCTAATTCTGAATATTCCATGTAAGTGGAATTATACAGTATTTTTCCTTTTGTATCTGGCTCT